TGGGAGGCACATATGCAAACTGTTGTAATTCCTACACCGTTCACCTGATTTGGATGTAAATACCCTCAAATTAAAGCTGACAGTCTGCAGTTAAAGCACATCTTGTTCGTTTCATTTGAAATCCATTGTGGTGGTGTATAGAGCCAAAAATGTTAGAATTGTGTCGATGTCCCAATATTTATGGACCTGACTGTATTTGTTATGTACTAGGATAACCTTTTCAAGCATGTTAAGCATGCATACTGCACATTTTCTAAGGTTTCTATCTAACTCTACTTGGAAATAACCTATAATTTGTTTGTTTTATACAAATATTTTAATAAATCACAATTTTTTTTCAGGTGGGCTTAAATGGTACAGCAATACATGACATATGCTGTATTTAACTGAGTCTTTAAATATGAATAATGAATTGTTTTTACGTATTATCACTACTATAACCTTTTTCCTAATTATCATTGTCATTTGTCCCATTTAAGCCTTGTTTTTATATGAAATGCTCTTCTGTTTGGAGTCTCAGTTTCATTCAACTGTTGCCTAAAGGTGATTGATCACACATTTTTAATTTTATTATTTGCTTTATTGGAGTGCCAGCATTATAGAAGCAAAGCTTGTATAAATTTTTTTTCTTTGGCTGCTCCTGTTAGGGGTCGCCATGGTGGATCATACGCAAGATGCCCTTCCCGATGCAACCCTCCCCAATTTATCTGGGCTTGGGACCGGCACTGGGAGTGTACTGTCTTGTGCAACCCCAAGTAGCTGGGATTGGTTCCTTGGCCAGGTATTGAACTTGGGCTGTAGCATTGAGAGTGCTGAGGCCTAACCACTAGTCCTCCAGGGACCCAAAGTTTGTACACATTAATTGCTACATATAAGATGATTGAATAAGCTGCATGTTAGCATCACCTAATGTGCACCATTCTTTTACTGCAGTGAAAGAGATGACAACAAAACAGAGAAATTATAGTATCTGACCAAAAATGATATAAGCAGGTTATCTTTACATAAGAAAAAAAATGATTAAAAAAAAGCCTTTCTGCCCTTGCTACAAAATATGGAGTGGTCAGGAAGTTGTTGAGGGCTGTAATGTAGGAGTGTAATGGCCAAATAGACTGAGCTTCTGTCTTCCTCTTTATTATGCTGTAATCTCCACAAAATCTGCAGCATTGCGTGAGCCCACAATGATCTATGTGACATAATGACACAAGACAAAATCTATTCCTGGTTGAGTTTAGCACAAGAATGTTTTTACTGTTAGATTGATTGGATTAACTGGGGTTTAGGGGACTACTGTTAGTTATGGATCAGGTATTCTAAAATAATTTTAAAAATAATTTTAAAAATAAAATATAAATGTGGGCTTCTTTGGAACACCCATGGGCTTAAATTGTACATTGTGCACCTTTTAAGCCCATGTCAGACATTTCACATATTTCACAGTATTTTTATTTTTTGCATTTTAAAATGTATGAGAATTAATTAATAAAATTTTGCAGTCAGGTCCTTAAGTATTTGGACAGTGACAAAATTTCCGTAATTTTGCCTCTGTACACCACCTCAATGGATTTGAAATGAAGCAGTCAAGATGTGATTGAAGTGTAGACTTTCAGCTTTATTTCAAGGGGTTTAACAAAAATATTGCATTAACCTTTCCCTCCATTTTCACAGGCCCAAAATAATTGGACAAACGAACATAATCATAAATATTAGGATTATTTTTAACAATTGGATGCAAATCCTTTGCAGTCAGTGGCTGCCTGAAGTCTGTAACCCATGGACATCACCAAATGCTTTGTTTCCTCTCTTGAGATGCTTTGCCAGGCCTTGACTGCAGCGACGTGCAGTTGCTGCTTGTTTGTGGGACTTTCTGCCTTCAAAAAAAAACATACACACAATCACTATATAGCAGTAATGAAATTGAAAATATCAGGCAAAAAAAATCAGACTATTAATTTAAAACCATACAGTTTCATAACTAACCCTGTAGATAATAATATATCAGATCAACGATTAGAATGTTTTACTCCCCTTCAAGAGACCAAACTAATTTCACTAATTTCATCATCAAAATCATCAACCTGTATACTAGATATCTTACCTACATGTTTCCTCAAACAGATAATTCCAGAAGCAATCAAACCCTTTCTAAAAATAATCAATTCTTCCCTTAGCACTGGCTATGTACCTAAATATTTTAGACTAGCAGTTATCAATCCCCTGATTAAAAAACCTGACCTCAACCCCTGTCAATTGTCCAACTATAGGCCAATATCAAACCTCCCATTTTTGTCTCAAAGATCCTAGAAAAGGTTGCAGCATAGCAGTTATGCTCATAGCTACATAGGAATAACATGTATCAGTCAGGATTTAGGCCTCATCATAGCACAGAGACAGCACTGGTTAAAGTGATAAATGACCTACTGCTGTCCTCTGATCAGTGTTGTGTCTCCTTGCTTGTGTTGCTTGACCTTAGTGAAGTTTTTGATACCATTGATCATGCTATTCTTCTCAATAGACTAGAAAATTTTGTAGGTGTTAAGGGAACAGCCCCTCTCCTGGCTCAGGTCTTATTTGACTAATTGTTATCAGTTTGTAGATGTAAATGTTGACTTCTCTACACATACTAAAGTAAAGTTTGGTGTTCCGCAAGGCTCTGTTTTAGGCCCACTGCTCTTTTTTTATATATGCTACCTCTGGGCAAAATTATTTGTAAACATGGTATTAGCTTCCACTGTTATGCTGATGACACACAGTTGTGTGTTTCAGCAAAGCCAGATGACAGACACCAGCTTAATAAAGTTGAGGAATGTGTAAAGGACAGTAGACACTGGATGCTTATTAACTTTCTTTTACTTAATTCTGACAAGACAGAAGTACTTGTACAAGGACCTCATGCAGCTAGAAGTAAGCTACTTCAATCAAAAGTTGCAGGCTATTTTTTGGTACCTCGAATAGTGAAGGCTTCAGCAGCAGGTAGAGCTTTCTCTTACAGAGCCCCAGAGTTATGGAACAGCCTTCCAATTAGTGTTTGGGGCACAGACACAGTCTCAGGCTAGGCTGAAAACATATTTGTTTAGTCAAGCCTTTTGTGAATAGTTTTTTCTTAGGTAAAGAAGCGGGTCTAGAGGGTTCATAAGCATAGAGTGTTGTGGTGAACTGGGATGTTTGGATGCTGGCCGCTTTATGTCCCAGGGCACCTTCATGTCTTTTACCGTCTGGCTCTCCCCTTTAGTATCACTGTCATAGCTAGTCTTGCCAGAGTCCCCGCTTGCACTCTGCATGCAAAGTACATTGTCCTTAACCATTACAGGACAAAAGCTTACTTAACAGTCTCTCTATCTCTCTTTCTCTCTCTCTATCTCTCTCTGTCGAACTATACTTGCTACTCCTGAGATACCAATGATCCTGAGCCCTTCTGCTCTCCGGACCTACCTGATCCATCCTGATACCCTACTTCTGGTTGAAGTTCTCATCGGTTGAGATCTCTCACTGTTGCTGGGGGTGGCCCCACATGGATGGCCTGAAGATCATTGGGATGACTGGTGATGGTGCTACTTGGGGGCCATGGAGATGGTTTGGGGATCTCATATGGGGAGTTGTGCTGTGATGGCTTGGGACTGCGATTGCTGTGAGCAGTTTTGCAATCAGGTCTCCATCATTGGGCAGTGGATAGGTTCACCAGACCGGACTTCATGTGAAAACTGTAATGAATATGCTGGTTGTACAATTGCACTATTTGTCCGTGTAATACACAGTTATAGAAGGGATTTATTTATAATTGCATTATCCATTATCACCCAGATGAGGATGGGTTCCCTTTTGAGTCTGGTTCCTCTCAAGGTTTCTTCCTCATATCGTCTCACGGAGTTTTTCCTTGCCACCGTTGCCTCTGACTTGCTCATTCGGGATAAATTCACATATTTACAATTTATTTTGATTTAATTTAATTTGAATGTATTTATTTCTGTAAAGCTGCTTTGTGACAATGTCCATTGTTAAAAGCGCTATACAAATAAAAGTGAATTGAATTGAATATTATGAACATTAGTCACTGTCCAAATACTTGGACCAGGACCTGACTGTACATAAGAAACTAATCTTCCATGCTAACAGTAGGTATCCCATAAAAATCAAACCAATATATACTACAAATATATAAAAACAGATTTTGGTGGCTTAACAGGTACACTATACCCTGAGTTGAGCAAAAGTAGTAATATGCAAATATGATAAACTTGTAAACTAACTAAGTTAAACCATATAATCTCCAGTCCATTCTATAGTCCATTTCTATGCTCAATACAATGTATACCAACTATACGCACAGTTTCATATGATAGATAGATGGATAGATAGATATGTACACTCTGTGGCTAGATTGTTGGTATACTTATTTTATTATTATTTTAGTCCAAAGTATAAGCTATAAAAAGCATTTCATGTTTGGTCACTAGAAAAATATTGGGGGGATGCATTTATTGTGGGATGCATTTTAGGGCCGGCTACGGCCAGAAAATGCATCCCCTCTTAAATTTGGTTAGATTGTTGTTACATGCATCATCTTTTAATTAGCAAAGGTTTTAATTAGAAAATGCACAAAATATGAAGTTGGTACTACTCTGTTGTGGGCAACGTGAAACACAACAAAACATGGGTATATGGGTAAATCCACGTCAAATCACCAGATTAAAAAAAAGACTGACCATCTCAGATTTGCTTCATACTTTCTGGAAACAATGTCATTCTTTTTCCAATAAATGGTGTGCAGAATTTCAATCTTGTATCTGAGTTAGTTTCTGAGATATGGAGGTTTCAAAAAGTAGGTGTGGCCTTGTAAAAACAAGCACTAAAGAAAAAGTTACAAAGCTCCATAAGTCATTCTTTTAGAAATATTCATGCTAGATGCATGAAATTTTCAGCGTTTGTTGTCTATTATAGGATGTCTTTAACATATAAGGTCCACAGTTGCAAATTTGCCAAATTATGACAGCAATGAAATATAAGTAAATTAAACTTCCAAAAGAACAATACCAGCGACAAAATGCAAATAACTGAAACTTTAAAAATGCACAAACAGCAATGTAAATAATTTAAAGTTAACAAATGATTAACAATGTATACACTATGTAAAGCTATACAAAAATGTGATATATGGCAATATATGAAAAACACATATATAATATGTATGTTCATGTATGGATTTCAGAGATATAAAAATATATGTCTGATACTTGTATGTATATTGAACATATATTTCAATACTATTACAAAAATGGCCGTTTTCATATATGTAACACATATGACTCATACATACCCTTAGAATACATGTTCATATATGGGGAAAGGATGTTTAGTGTTATATTTATAAAACAAATATATAAATATATGCAATTTTATTATTTGATAATTTATGTTAAACTTTGAGTACAGTTTCAAATATAAAATGAAGATTGAAAGATACATAAACACAGAACAGGGTAACGTTTAAATTTTTTTAAATTGAATGTTCAGTGCAATTACATCATACACCATAGAATTAACATTGTGACACTGCAAGACAAACACTAAGAGACAGTAGATGTGGGGAATGTGCTCTTTATTTTCTTTTTTTTTCTCTTTAGTGTGAGGGAAGTGAGGCGTGGGTTTGGTGAAGATTTGTGTGGGTAGGGCGGCGTCGGAGCTTGGCGTGGTGAGAGGGAGGCTGCAGCGCTGTGTCAACGCTGAAGTGGCACTGTAGACGCTCTTCAGAATGTGGAGAGATCGGCGTGAGAAACACACGTTAGTTTTATTATTTTCACCTACCTCCTTGAGAGAGCGGCCGCTGGCTCCTTTTATAGTTCC